TATATATATATATATATCTTAAACCCTATTTTCTTAGCCTTACATCTCTCCAAAATTACACTAAATTTTTTTCCTTTCTGGTTCATTCAAACACATCCATGAAAAGCATGTTAACCTGAACTCATTGAGTGATTCATAATTTAATATACAATACATATAACCAACATAGCTCCAAAAATTATAGGCAACCATTAAAGATCACCCCTGGCTTCTTGTGAATTCATGGTAGATAGGTAAATCCATGTTGAATAAGGATTTCTTAATTAAATATCATAAGTTGTGTTGGAACATTATCCAAGGTGACTAATTAAATATGATTGGCATGCAAGGGTCACTTCTTCTTGCATGCCCACTAAAAATCTTGCTTTGATCATGTCTCATCTTTTTCTACTACAATAAAGGTCAAACAAACATAATTATAGCCTTTAGCCACTGAGCGAGTCTCATATTGATCCATGAGTCCTTTTGCTTTTATATTTAACTTTGAGAACCCATTTATTCTTAAATAAAAATAAAGAAACATAAATAGGAAGGGATAAATCATTCAAGAGGTTTCCAAAATTGTCTCCAATTAGATTTCCTAAGATTTATGAGGAAGTCGGCCGGCCCATCTTCCTAACTTTTCATACCCCCCCTCAAACTGGGTCATATATGTGATAAAGGCTCAGATTGGTGTTCAACTCAATGACGCTACTTGGAGGTAGAGATTTAGTGAAGACATCGACGACTTGATGAGTTGGAATGTAAATCAAGTGAATAATGCTACCATTGACATTTTCAGAGATAAAATTTCTCTCAATCTCGATGCATTTGGTCATGTCATGATGCACAAGATTCTTTGTAAGCTGTCACAAAACATCTTTATAGAATTGATCATGAAATATCCTAACTCATTTAGTAACATTTAGATCTACGTTCCTTCATAAATTTACAAAGTGCTCGATATTTGTATTCTACACTATTTCTAGAGACTAATGCTTTCTTCTTGTTTCTCCATGTGACAAAATTTTTGCAGACATAGGAACAATACCCAGAAATGAATTTTCTGTCTGTAAGTTCTCTGCTCAACTAGTATTAGTGCATGTTGGGATAGAGAAACGGGATTCGATCAAGTCACAACCAAATCACACTGCGAAAAACACACGCCAATTCGAGAGATCCAAAAAAAAAATGGAACATAAGTGCACAATACAATAAATTCAGAAAATCACACAAGATATAAAGTAAAAAAACTTGAGAACGAGAAAAAATCACAGAGTCACACCGCAACAATATTTCACTATGGAGTGAGGAATAATGTACATATTACACCACACTCAGATTTCTTCTCTGCAAGCCTGAAACTCACGAACGCTCCTCTCTCAATTGCACAAGAGCCACCTGGGAGCTCGAATAACCCTCATCTACTCCTAGGGCTTTCGCCCCTCTTTGCTGGGCTGGCTGCGATTGTTCGCTCTAGACCAATTTTTTCTGGACCGATTCGTCCACCTAGCCTTCAGGCGTAGCAGATATATTATAATACTACAAAATAAATTGTGGTGCAATGGTTGTATATTGAGTTATGTTATTCTTGCATGGTGTGGTCATGAGTTTGATTCTTTCTCTCTCTTTTTTTTTATGTTTGCTTGTGTTCGTTATATTCACAAATAAGTCAAACTATTTGAAGCCAAGCATAAACTTAGAGAAGTCAAACATTAACTTGCCCGAACTGAATATTTAGAAAAAAAGTGAACTTGAAGCCACACAAGGCTCCCTCTATTTATTTGAGACTCATTTATAATCCTACCAAAATCTGATATTATCTTCTTATCATATACTTTTCTAATTAGTACAGTCTCTCTTTAATTAATATAAGGAATCCACTTGAAAACGAACTCTCTAAAATCTTTGCATTAATTTTAAATTTTACTTAAAAATTAATGTAACTTTAATTATTGATCTAATTTAAAATGTTATAGTTTCAACTTAATCTCTAAATTTCCTAATACTTTAAAGTTTTAAACCAATTTAATTTTAAGCATTAATGTTTTTTAATTTGACATGTTAAATCATATAATTTATCAATTTTTTATTTTTAATTTATATAATTTATATCAAATTTGTCTCATGCAATGAATTAAAGAATACAAATTTATTATTCTTCTTAAAATTATTGTATAAAATAAATCCCAATAATTATTATAGTAGCATTGTTTATTCTCCCATCATGCATGGGATTGCTTTCTTTTGCGAGACATGGTCAGATGATTCTCTATAGTTTCTACATGCACATTTTGGTAGAGTGGTATTGCCTTCTCTAAACTGGAGGTCCAAGGTTCAAACCCTTGCACACACTCACACACACACTAAAAGGGAAATATACATACATCCCGGAAAATTTCTTTGTATTTACAAATCTCACATGTGGCATAAGCCTATGAAAGAAATGTGTATTTCACTTAATACTATTGGCATTTTTTATGTAGTATTAAATATTTGAGTGTTATGCATAAAATTATGAATGTTTTGGTGTTGATCCATAAATACATAAGAATTATGTTGAATGGATGTAAATGCCCCACAAAAATAGGAACTTCAAGAAAATTTTATTCTATTTGTCTAGGCATCTTGTGCATCCATTTTATAATATTTTTTATTACATAAATTGTTCCCGCCCATGGCCTTTCTATGCAGTTAAACTATTGCTTAATATTTTTAGGTTTTTTTATGTAGTTAAACTATTGATTAATATTTTCTTCTGGAATGATTTCTGTCCATTGCCCCTCTTTGCAGCTTCACTGGAAGAGTTACTATAAGAACCTGCTTCTTTTAGCATATCAAAGTTTTGGTGTGGTATATGGTGATTTAGCTACTTGTCCTCTGTATGTCTATAAAAGCACTTTTACTGGGAGACTCCATAATTTTCAAGATGAGGAGACAATTTTTGGTGCATTTTCCTTAATATTCTGGACTTTCACTTTGATTCCGTTGCTAAAATATGTATTCATCGTGTTGAGTGCGGATGATAATGGTGAAGGTGAGTTATAAGGTGCTTATCCGTTCTTCTATGGAAGGCTGGTCATTGAGCAATTTTTCATATCTAAACTCTACTCTTATTATTGACATTGTTTCTGTAGGGGGAACATTTGCTCTATATTCTCTTCTTTGCAGGCATGCAAAGTTCAGTCTTTTACCTAATCAACAGGCCGCTGATGAGGAGTTATCTACATATTATAGGCCTGGTTATACATCCCGGAGTACTGCTCTATCTCCATTGAAAAGGTTTCTCGAGAAACATAAAAAGACACGGACTGCTTTACTACTAGTAGTCCTCTTTGGCGCTTGTATGGTTATAGGTGACGGCGTTCTCACGCCGGCGATTTCTGGTAAATATTGACTTGTCATTTTTTCATAGCTTGGAAGAGTTAAGTGCAGTATTGTAAACTAATTTTTTTATCTTCTACAGTTCTATCATCAATATCTGGGCTGCAAGTTCGTGCTGCAGGGTTAAGTAATGGTTAGTCACTCTTGTTTTCTTCCGTGGTATTAGGCGTAATTTAGAGTTTCATATGGGATAAACAGTTAATAACTAGCATCCATTTAATAACTAGCATCCATCACTAACTGACTGTATAAGCTGGAAGGATCTCATTGTTCTGGAGATGACACTGATGACATTTTTGTACTCGTTAATCTTATCTTGAGGTTAAACTTAAGGAAGATTTACATACCACACAATTCTTATGTATTTACATATCCAGCAGCTAAAATTCAATCTTTACATATATGACACCTTGCCTATGCATGAAATGGTGTATTTAACATTTTAAAAGTCAAAATAATGATATGAAGGATCTGGCTACTTTAAATGTAGTAGTAAAGTTTAGGTGTTAGACATGTAAATTCATAGGAATTGGGTGGTATGTATGTAAATACCCATAAAATTAATTATTTTTTACCTAGAATTTTCTTGATACCATTCTAGGGTTCCTAGAAAGCGTTTAGGAATGGGATTTAGCGGGTAATTAGTTGTGGAATGACAAGGGAATGGTAATATGCGAGTTTGACGACGCTTGGATGAGGATAAGCTTTTTTCGGTGGTTGTCTCGACTGAAAATAGCAAAGTTAGCTTCGAAAGGACATTGTATAGGCGGCGAGGAGGTTCACCACCAATTCCCGAGCAAGATACAATCACACCACTTGTAGAAGGAATGTAATACAACCTCCTAAAACAGGAAATTAAAGATTACAATATCCATAATTCTCAAAATTAAGCAAAAGTTTCCAGAAATAGGAAATAACAAGATCTAATAAGTTTCCTCATAGATAAAACCTAATTTGAAATAGAGAAAAGGAAAGAAATCAAAAAAGAAAAAAACATTCTGGAAAAACTGGAAGTCAACGACTATTGGTTCCAATCTTATGATTGTAGGGATTCAAAACTATGCGAAACATGAAACCCTTGCTCCTGCAATCATGGGTGAATCCGTGATCCTGTGGAGAATGCGATCCCGTGTCCGTGTTTCCAAATGAAGCGCCTCTTGCGTCATTCTTCTCGGGTAGGAGGGGTTTCTTGTTCCTTCTAGAAGCTTCTGGAATCAATTTGCCACTAACATGACAAAGTCACCACTTTGTTGTGTCTGAGACAGCCATACTACAATATTTATGCTCACGTCCATCCATGCAACTCTAAAATAAATATGTTATTCCAAAACACGTCCTGATAGAATACACAACCATCATTTTTTTATAAAACTAGTGTTGGAATTGCACGTAGATAGGTGTTCTCATGAACTAAGACTTTATCCATCAAGGGTGTAACATGTCTTTGCAACTTCTCATACTCGACTGGTTGCATCCTAGAGATAAGTGGGTTTGGAAGAAAAACTCCTTTAATGAGGTCTATAACATGTTGAATCTATCTGGTTGATAACCGCCATTGAGGTATATTGTCGGTCAGAATATTCAGTAACTCTCTCAATAAGGGCTATTTCTTTTTATGTATCGATTTCTCGGACTCACTATCTTTTAGGATAATCAATATTAGTGTCGTCGGAGTCTCTCTCTGTGGCTCAGTTTGAATCATTAGCTTCTCTCTCGTCGGCTGGAAGTTAGTATTCTATGACATCTTCATTCTATCTCGTATCTCTGTCCATATTTTTAACTATTAACTGCTTAGTGAAAGAGATTTTCCTCCTATTTGGGGCAGTCGAATGCAATGGTCCAAAATAGTGACATGTAAAACATTTCTTAGTTGGGATGGATTTGGGAGTACCGGTGATCTCTATATTTTCTCCACTTTGTGCTGATTTCTCATCGGCTAGGGTCGACTGAGATGCTTCACTGGGTGTACACTTGCTGTCTGCTCCTAGGTTTGAACTTGTAAAATTCAACAATTACCTGAGGTTCTTGCTATTTCCCCATATTTAAAGTTAGGGTTTTTACATCGAGTAATGACCAATATGGCTGCGGCTCACTACATTACTAATAGGCAATCTCAGCCTTCCAAGATATCTCACTACTGTGTATACTTCTGGTTTCACCAACTTACATTTCAGCATGAGTTGATCAAATTCAACCAAGTTTTTCTCCTCAGAAGAATCTCTCTAGTGCAGATAATGGAGTATTATGAATATATTTTGTCGGTAATGTGGAGGAACGTATATTTGCGATGTATCAATCGTCATCTTAGACCAGGTAGTTATCTACCTTTTCCCTCACGTTGGCGTAGGCACTTTAAATTTTCTCACCATAGAGACACTCTTCTTTAAGTTGATGACAATTAGTTTTACCATTCTGTCCAGTTCAAAGTTACGTTTCAGTGTCTGCAACCACTCGATGAATTTATCCATAACCATCAGACTGTCGAAATCCTATAGGTCGATCTTTACTTTAACATCCTGGACTCTCTTTTGATATTCTATACCAATCGACAATGTATGAGTTCTTCATCACTTGAAATTGCATGGTGTAAGGGATTTATTTTCTCCTCTCGATTTGGTGAATCATTGTTTTGGCTATGAGTGACCTCTTTAGGTTTCTCCTCTAAAAAAGACAGTTTTCGGCTGATGTAGGATTGCAACTCAAGATTGGTCGGGGCTTAGGTTTTGGTACTAGGTCTTAGGGTGAAATTTTTGTGAAGGTAGGAATGTTGGATTTTAAAAATTTTGGGTTGGGTAGGAAATGCAATAGGAATGGTTTGGGTATGATGGAGTCATTTATTTATTTATTTATTTTTTGAATAGTAGATTTGGGGTAAGACAAATTCCTAAAAATTTAGGATTTATTTGACTCTGATACCAGATGATACTATTATTGGGCTCCTAGAAAGTGTTTAGGAACGAGATCGCAATGAGGTAGTTTTTGAATGGCACGGGAATGATAATATGATAGTTTGACTACGCTTGAACAAGGATAAACATCATTCAGTAGTTGTTTTGGGTGAAAATAGCAAAGTGAGCTCCAATACGATGATGTGCGGGCGGTGAGGAGGTTCGCCGCCTGTATTTTCAAAACCAATAATTCCCAAAAATAAGAAATAACAAGATATAAATAGTTCCCTCATAGAAAAAAGCTAATTAGAAATAAAATAAAGAAAGGGAAAGAAATTAGAAAAGGAAAAAAAAAAACAACTCTGCAAAAATTGGAAGTCAGCGGTCCTCGGTTCCAATCGTGTGATTGGAGGGATTTGGAACTATGAGAAACTTGTGACCCTTATTCCCACAATTGCCAGAGGATCCATGATCTTGCGGACAATTTGGGATTAATTCTGTAGAGTTAATTTCAAGTCATGTGATACAAATGGCCACATAATCGTCAACGGATTTTGTATAGAAAATGCGGATTTATAAAGCCAATTCCAAATAATTGCGATATATGAAGGTTAATGATGATGATTATGAAAAAAATTTATGGTATAAAGCTTGGAATTATATATATTGTGGTTTTATGAATTAATTATTTAAAAATGTTATTCTGAATATTTTGACATCGAAAATCTTATATTTTTCTATTCGAGTCCAATCAAAACAAGTTTGAAATCTAGAGATGCTCTACTAAACCTTCAAATGTTTAAATCTTAGGCTTTGTTTGATTCTACTGCTTCATTCTCGCTTAACTTTTTGAGACGTAGTTTTGTTTTATAAGAAGAATATGCTTCAAAATTCACCATTTTATAAGTGCATTTTCTCTATGATATTATGATCTTATAGATCGATTTATGGTTCAACTTGTATTTTTATGTGATTGTATGATTGTTTTATTTTATGCAAACCAACTAAAGAAAAATTATTAACATAGTTGTACTAAATAGAGACTAAAAATTTTCTTAGAATTTCTACTATATGCGTTGATTGGTTTTGATTATGAACCGATAAGGGATTCTATGTGAACCAAAATTTCAATCCAGGATAATGATTTAGGCTTGATTTAACTTTTTCAAACTCATAGGCCTCATAGGATGCTCTGTCTAAAAAATTTTGGCGGTGCTTTTAAGCCTCCATCATGGCATGCTATTTGGGTCTAGCTGAAACAAATCATGTATGCTTTATTTTCTAGGCTAGATTTTACATGTAATTTGGCAACTTGTTTTTGGCATGATATGATATGCTAAAATAATTTCATAATATCATGTCTATTGTTAGATACTCTTATTGCTTTGCATTATGGGTGATTGCAGTTAGAAAATGTGGAATGCACAACTTTAATCACATTAACTACAGCTCTTTCTCTTTGACTTTATAAGCAAATGGAATGAGACGTTTCTTTATGATAATATGATAAATTATTTCATACAAAATAAAAACAATACTTCAACACAATTGCACAAAACGAAGCGGAAATTATAGAGGTAAAAAATTACAGTTTATATAAAAGATGCAATGTCAAGACCCGACCTGGAGCTTGAAATTAACTAAAACAAGAACAAATTAATATGCAACAATACATAAAAGAGTCAGTAAAGAAAACAATTAAATTTACAAGTAAAAGTTGTTCTTGTCTCCTATACACATATAATTATCTTCTGTTTATCTTGTTCAAATATTTAAAATTTCAAAATAATTTTAAAGCAACATAATGAGTTATATAAAAATAATGCATAAGTAATCACACTTTTAAACTACAGTAACCTAAGGAAAATAATTCAATATGCATGTTGGTCTTTCGTATTCTTATAAGAAATCTTATAATATGTTAGTAATTCATATTTTTATAAGAAATCTGATAATAAGCTAATGCATGTATCAGAAATCAATATCTTATCATTTCTGTCATGCATATTTTTTCTATACAACTATATGAATGATTTATTGTAATATAAATCTATTGAACTAAAGTATACATGTAATCAACATACATTTTAAAATAAAGAAAATTACTGAAATTTAAAAATATAATTATTCACGTAGGTTGTCACGCTAAATTCATAATCATTATTAACTAGCTGGATGTTGCGATAATTTTTATGTTGATCTTAATAACTTATAAAACATAATATTAAACTTTAAGATTTAAGCAATTTCTGTTAATTGAATTATTCTTCTTAAATTAACATAGAATTATTTACCTGAATTGACGGATGGTTGTACGACAATCTTCCACGCGCTTGCCTCAACTTCCCGTCTCAATTAACCAACCTGAAATCTTAAACGACTTGGAAATTCAAGCTATCTTAACTTGTAAAGTGATTTAACTCAAAATATAATTGATTTTGCAAAACATATCTTAAACAGACTTTTCGGCAATCCGCCCTTCTCTGAATGTATCAAAACTTCATTTCGTCTTCTTTTATCACCTTAACTCTTCTCCTATCTTTGTTGATATTTTGCTAAGCCCTTACGGAAGTTCACAAACCACTTCCGACAATTCCAGCGCAAGTTCGGCTCCTGCAATGGCTATCGGAAACAAAGAAGATGCACGATTTGTGATAAATCTCAAAACGAAAGCAAGATAAAGGAAATGAAAGTCTCAAATAGCGCTAAAATCAATTTCACATTTACCAATTTTTTTTTGGAGCCTTGAATCGAGGTCTGCGGCTTACCAGGTGGTCGCTCGGTCGCCTCTGCTTGCGCCCTTTTATAGTGGCTCAAGCGGAACTCCTTTTGCCGAGTCGATCGAACAGGAAGGTAGGCATGTGCGAGCGAAACTGAGAACAAGGATGTGCGATATCGAGAGAGAGGAGGAAAGTCGAAGGCTTTGGAACCGGAAACCAAAATGGCATGGGAGGCTATTGGGAGCAGTAAGGGGATTAGGGAGAATAATTAAGGATTTAAATTAGGTTGATTAAACTATAACTTCTGATTTTTATATCTTTTAATGTATTCATAATTTATATATAGTATTATAAATCAAATTGATCGATTTGACGCTTAAGAGTTTTATAAAATTGATTTGGTCGGAAACTGAGGGATGTAAATTTTAGGGCACAGTTTAAGTTGTCGAAATTTATCAGGTTTCACAAAATTGATTATCACATGCAAAATCCATTTAGTGGACCAAAGAGGGAAAAGTTTAACTGGCTATAGGAGGGAAAAAAAGTGAAAAAAAAAACAAAAAAGAAAATTTAACGGGAAATAATTATTGATTAGTATTCTTCTATATATAGAATAGCCAAGTAAGGATTTATCATTTGATAGTGCCTCTTCTTTGTGCAACCTAGTGGCTTGTTGATTCTCCAGTTTCTAGCTGGGACCATAGCTGGAATTTTGTGACCTGAGGATGCCATATGTGGCTGAGGAAGCCGTCCTTCATGCAATTTTCCAAAAAGTGATTTAATTAGTGATTTAATTTCTCAAGTGTTTTGAAATTCAATACATGCCATGATCTTCTTGACTGCTGAACATCTAGAATTGTTTCCTTTTGTAAAACAGCTGTGGTGGTGTTGATATCTTGCATTGTTCTAGTTGGTCTCTTTGCTCTGCAACACCGTGGTACTCATAGGGTGGCCTTCTTGTTCGCTCCAGTCGTTATTATTTGGCTTTTATGCATTGGCCTCGTTGGTCTGTATAACATTATCCACTGGAATCCCAGAATATATCGAGCTCTTTCACCTATCTACATCATCAAATTCTTCAAGGTAACTGGGAAGGAAGGCTGGCTTTCTCTGGGAGGAATATTGCTTTGTATTACAGGTGAACTCTGAAATGTATCCTTCTTTCATCAAACACTTGAGAAACTTAATTTTTTTTTTTTCAAATCATTTTTATGAAATTGCAGGTAGTGAAGCTATGTTTGCCGATCTTGGCCACTTCACTGCTGCTTCTATTAAAGTAGGTGGATCTCATTTGCAAGTACATGAAGTTAGCAAAATAGTTTTATATTGATTTTGTCTGTGATGATTAATTTTCTCTTATTCTCAGCAAAAAATATTTGTTTAAGCAAATATTGATTCTCTCGGTCTCAAACTTGTTTACTTGAAGCATTTTTGGAATTTTGATTTATTGCTATCTTGTTTTTCTTTCCATAAGGGCTGGGTTGCATGTTGATTTGTTAGAGATATCTTTGCAATTTGATCCGTTGGATTTAGGTTGGCAAATATTTTAATTGATTTTACTTGTACTTCATAAAAACTTAAATTACTTTTACATTTGGCCGCATGAGAAATGGTTTTGAGTTAACATGATGACCAATTATTGTTGTTTAAAATTGATGCTACACATTTGAGTCACTATAGTTTAAAATGAGACTAGTCTCGTGATATATGGCATTACATATGGTTTAAATTAATTTGGCTCTTGAAGCTTAACAAAGAAGTTTAGTTTTGGTTGGAATACTATTGAATCTAATAGCAAAAGCTGAAGTTAAAAACATTTATCTTCTAGCACGAATCATTTTTCTCATGTTTTCTTCCACACTAACATCAAACCGCCATTATGTTTGTACTTCATCTTCATGTGTGGAACTATCCAACACTAAGCCTCATCCTAAATAAAAGCCCAATTCATTGTTTATGCCTCACCTCTTTCAATTGCATAGAAAGTTGCTTTACATCTTAGAAGCGGAGCGCCCTAAATAAGCAAAAATTGATGGATCAAAATGCTTTATGTATTTTTCTCTTAATTAGAAGTGGTCCTGCAGAATATTACCAACTAAAGAGCAATAAGCATTACGCAAACCTGAGATTCAAAGTTGTCACCCAAATGAAGCAGGCTGCAGATTAATCTCCAAACTTTCAAGCACATCCAAATTAAAGTTGACTCACATCAAGAAATGAAATTATCCTTGCGTTATTTATAATGGGGATAAGATTAATATAATTAGCTAGAAGATTTTGCTGAGGTGTAACCCAATGTTTCTATACAGTGGAACAAAATTTGAAATGATTTGATGATAGCTTCAAATTTTACTCGATTTATCTTTTGTTATTGTACAAACAAGCTTGAAAGTTGTTGTAACTCTTGGTTAGATAAAGCTTGAGTTCAAAAATCAATTTTTGAACTGATCTTATGATTCTTATCCTCTTAATTTTATTGTTAAAGCCCACACTAAAGAATTTATGAGGGATAGAAAGGGTATAGAGCTTTTTTAAGAAGTCATATTATTCTATGAATCAATTAGATGCGCTTTGCTCTTCTATTTGTTGTAGAAGATGTTTCTTGTCTCTGTTTTTAAGTTCACTTCCACTGAATAGCAAACCAAGTTGTTGATTTCTTCATATTTGTGGTAATGATAATCAGTTTATTTCCTTTTGGAGTGGATAAGAAGGATAGTAGTATTTTTTGGAGCCTAGTTGGCTTTAAAATAATAAAAGCAGACTATTGCTTCTCTACTGTCCAAAAGCTGTATGTTCTTTGGAAGCTTGAGTGTGTCGATCTGAGTCTTCATGAGAGAGATAATTTATAATCTGCAAATTTCGATCCCCATAATAGTTTTCAGTTCACCACCTTCGCTAGGTTTAAGAAGTCAGATGAAGAGATAACAAATTGGCAGGTTGCTGGTTGTGAGGAAATTAAGAAGAGATGTAAGAGGGGGAGAGAGAGAGATGGTTGAGAAAAAAAGGAAAAAAAAAGTTTATTGTTCTGGTGTTCACGATGAATTACCTCAGTGTGGGCAAGCGTGATTGTGCCAGTGCAATAGTGGCGTTGGAGTTGCAAAAATGAAGGTATTGTAGGCTAGGATGGTGGTGCTATAAACAAGTGCTATGTTGCTGGAAAAAGTGTGACGGTGTTACAGGCAAACTTGGCAGCGCTTGATAGTATTTTCAAAACTCTAAACTAAAATATAACTTCCGGTTTTTTATATCAATTCCTCTAGAGCTCTTAGTTTTTTGTTTGATCTTGTAGTATCCATCTCCCAGCATATAAATGGTCGTGGGGGAGGAGAAAATCTGAAGTATTTTTTTTAATTAAAGTGTAAATTTTTTTTTGTGTGATTGTGGATTTAAGCGAGAATCGCTTTGTACCTTCTAAATCATTATATAAATGCTAGGTCATTGCCTGAAAGAGACACATTTTATGACCTGAATACGATGAAAATTGTGTAAGTGCGCTGCACCGATGCCTAGGTGTAGTGTTAAATAAACAAAAGTTCTCAAATTATGGACAGATAAGGGCAAAAAAGTTAGCCCACGAAACCAATATTAGAGTAGGATCTTGGAATATAGGCACTCACACAGATATATTAATAGAACTAGTAGATATTTTGTTTCACGGGAAGATAAATATCTTATGCATTCAAGAAAATAAATGAGTTTGAGAAAGGCTAAGGAGATCAATGGTTTTGGTTTAAAATTTTGGTATACAGGTATGAGTTGTATTAAAATGGTGTAGGTGTAATTATAGATAAGAGTTTGAAAGATAATGTTGTAAAAATTAATAGAATTGGAGATAGAATTAGAACTTCAAAGATTTTTGTTGCTACTAAGATTCTTAATGTTACAAGTGCTTATGCTTTTTAAGTAGGTTTAGATAAAATAAATTCTGGAATGACCTAGAAGAATTAGTACAAATGATATCCCTTGAAGAAAAACCTTTTGTTGGAGTAGATTTAAATGAATATGTTGGCAGTGGTAGAAGCTTTTTAGAAATATTCATGGTGACCACGATTTTGGAGTTACTAATGAAGAAGATAGATCCATGTTAAATTTTATTTTAGGGAATGTTTGGTTATTTGTAAAATAAAAATGCACAGTAAAATAGAATGCAGTGTATTATAATTGCATTGTAATATGCCTCTAGTATGTTGTTTGCTTGTTTGTAAAGTTAATACAAGAATTTTTTTTTGTGTTTGGTTATATGCATGTAAAATAAAATAAAAAACAGTATGCAAAATATTTGAACTTGTTTGGTTGCTGTAAAGCAAATACAAATAAATTATTTTTTATATTCATTTAAAAATTTGTAATAAAATACATGTGTATTATCATATTGATGTGTCAGAAAGAAATTTTTATCATCAAGCATGAATCTCGATGCATTTTTAATAAAAGATATTTCAAATTCAAATTTAGTATCATTTGGCCCCATTTTCAACAATTTGTTAGTCGAACTCACCATCTCAACGCATTGAGCCTAATGATATCAAAGTTGATCAAATCCAACTCCAATCAAGCCTAGATCAGGCCATACTTTGTTTCCAATTGGTACATGCATTGAGTGGTATGTATATAAATCTTCCAAACTAAAAAAATGTATTTGCTTGCATACCACCTAATCCCTAAGAACATGCATTGGCTTACATTTATTTCAAATTCCAAATATTATATACAAAAATTCATTGTGAGCTGCAAGGTTACTTGAAAGGTCATCAGAGTTTAAAAACACCCTGTTAGTAGAGTTCGATATTGTTTGAGTCACTTCCCTTGCAGCTTCAATCTGCCTCAAGGCTAGGAATGTTGGTTTTCTTTCTACTGCTTCTCCTATAAGCTGAGCACTCTATGCCTCACCCTGGAAATAAAAGAAGAGAACAAGCATCCAAACAAAAATACACAAAAATCTGACTATTCTGGTGAATGAATTGTTTAAATTGTACTCTTTAATAGCCTATCAATATTGTTCGAAAGTGCCATTCATTTCTACTAATAATTTCAATATCAATATTATATCAGTTGTTCTTATAAGAATAGTAATTCAAAATTAACTACTCGGACGATGTCCAGTTGCGTTGGACCCGGTCATTTCCAGAAGTCCACAACGTAGTTTTCATTCATCAAAGATCAAAATTCCCATAAAAATATTGATTAGCTTCGGGGAAAAAATTCACCACACCCATTATGGACCCAAAATACAACATAATATACATTAGAGTTCATTAAATATCCATAAAACCAAAATAACATGTTAACTCATTACAACCAAACAAAACTAAACCCTAATAAAACTTGGATCACAAAATCACTTATTTAACTATTTTTGTATCCATCTAGCCTTCAAATCCATTGATTTCGACAAAAATGAGTGAATCAATGTTATGTTTTTGGATAAGTTATTATAAATGGTGTCTATCCCTTTCTCTGAAAACCCTTGAACCTCGGACAACTCCGTTGCGAGCTCAATGAACATTCTCCTCTCTTTTGCGGCTCTTGTTGTACTCTTGATTGCATTAGCCAGTACAAATGCACCATCAGACATCCTATGAATGTAATCTTGCATACTTCGTTCCACAGAAGATCCCTTGTTTTCTTTTTTTAATTTTATTGGGAACCCCTGTGTATTTTGCGAACCACTGCAAAATACACTCCATTTCCGTGTATTTTGCAATGGGGACATTCAAATAACTTGCATCCTTCGCTTGAGCCTGTAACACAATAATCAATAAACATAAGCTTAACTCATTTTAACATATTTCATTTAAAAAAAGATATTTGATAAAAAATAGTACCTGGATAAAACCTTTAGCACTTCACATATTTGTTTCAACTCGAAACGAATGTTTACTTTGACTTCTAATAGGTTTACCTAAGGCAGTCATCAAATCCAAACTTTAACACATGGCTTAATGGGTTCACCTTTGGCGGTCATCAAATCTCATTTCAGATATTATGTCTAAGAAATATGTGGTTTGTTATTGCATTCGGCTTTAACATAAGCATGCTATGTAATAGGCTAAATTTTGTGCTAGAATATAACAAAACTTGCAGAATAAGCAAAAAAATAAAACACCATTTAATATGTATGTTTGAATATGCATAACAAACCTTTAAATCAAATATTACAGATCTTGCAAACACAGGAGTCATTTACAATGAATAATCAACCAACAAAGCATACATATAATACTCAGAAGACTCACAATGACATCCTATATCTTACAATCAAGCTTCTCATACAAA